TTTTTCCCTTTTTTTTTCTTCCGGAACGGCTCGAAACCATTTTTTTCTGACTGAATTTCAAGGGCTAAATGGGATGGGGTGGTTTGGGAATTCATTTACCTCTTTCAGTGGTTTAAAGTGAAAAGTTTCCAATTTTTAAGGAAAACCAACCCCGGGCAATAATTAACATTGATGCTGACCGGTTCTCGTCTGCAGTGTATAACTCCCAGGTAGACCCCGGCGAGTCTGTCCCCTCCTTGTGTGAATTTTGGTGACACGGAAGAATAAAGTCCCGCTCGGAAATCGCGGGGAAGCCTCGGCTCAGCCCTCGCCCGTCCCTGTCAGCTCTGCCGCCGGCCGCAGCGGGACAATTTGCCTTTTCCCAGCGGTGTTTGTTTTGGTCGGCCTTTTAAAGGAAAAAAAAAAATAATAAAAATAAAAGAGAGGAGAAATGCGAGGGCAAAAGTAAACCGCTCTCGATAAAACGGCAAGGACTTTCCTCATCCCCTCTTTGTATTTCTCTCCTCTTCATCCTGGAGGTATAAGCCCTCAGGTCCGTGCTTTTCCCGAACCGAGCACCTTATTGGAAAGAAAAAAAAAGAAATTAATAACAATGAAAAGGAGGGATGGGGGAGCCCATCCCCCGGGCTGGGCAGGGCACTGCTCCGCCAGGACGTGGCCGCGGGCGGCTGCGAGCCCATGCGTTATAATTCTGCGCACTTGCTCCAGACTTTAGGGTATTAGTTGATTTTAGAGCCGGGTTTAAGGCTCCGTTCCGGTCCCCACACAGCTGCCTTGTCAATAAGGATCTGTTCCAAGCAGACATTCCTTCTGGGAGGACATTGCAGCTCTTTAAGACCTCATCTGCAACATCATAAGTACTAAAATAAAATGGCAAGGGAAAATTACCAGACACATGGTCATGGGATATAGAAGCGCCCTGACTCCAGCGCACATAGTAAAGTCACTGTACAGACTGGGTGGCAGGGGCTTATTTTAAACAGCCCCGAGACGCGAAGTACGTGGGAAAAACAACAATCTGGATTTAGGAAAATATCGGGACCGGCCTTTCCCATGTCGTATCGCGAGGAGGGGAGCGGGCAGAGGCTGCGGGGCAGGGAGCGGGCAGCGGGAGCGCCGCCGGCCCCGGCTCGGAGCCCTTCTCCGCCTCGGCCACAAACGGGCTGCTCTTAACCGGGAGCATTTAAAGTCAAATAAATCCGAGTGTCTTTAGTGAAGACAAACAGGTTTTAAAGAGCCCCGCGATGGTTATTAGCACCCGCGGAGAGAACTCGTTCTTGAATCAAAAGCGTTCTGAAGTGCGCTTAAAATGCCGGGTTCGACTTATCTAATCAAAGATAAATAGAGTCATAAAGACACCCTCTTCCCACCGCTCCCCTGCCCTTATCTCACCGCATTGTCCTCATCTCCCAGCCCGTCCCGGCTCCCGACAATAGATTATCTTTGCTTAGCGAGCCTAATTGTTTTCTAATTTTTTGTAATAATTGCTTTTGAGCGAGGTGTGCAAATGAGGATTAGGCTAATTAACGCGCTGCCGGTCGGTGCAGTTTCGCCGCCCGCACGGCTTCCGCGGGGGCTCGGCGGGGCTGCCCCGACCCAACGGGGGGACACCCCCCCCTCCGAGGCCAAGAGGGCCAGAACGGGGGGCAGGAGGGGGCGATCGGCCCCTGCGTGTTATTTAGCTATTCACTAAAGCATTATTTATTCATCCCCAGCATTAAGGTAATTAAATACGGGCTTGCTTGGCAGGCGACGGCGAGCAGGCGGGAAGCGGGGGGCAGGAGGTTTTGGGG